CTCCTTACTCTTCACCTCCACTCAGTTTTCTTTTTTTATTAAAGATGACCGGTAAGGGGATCTTAACCCTTGACTTGGTGTTGTCAGCACCACACTCAGCCAGTGAGCGAACCGGCCATCCCTATATGGGATCCGAACCCGGGGCCTTGGTGTTATCAGCACCGCACTCTACCGAGTGAGCCACGGGCCGGCCCCTCCACTCAGTTTTCTGAAAGGTGTCTCAAACTTAACCTATCTAAAACCAAACCCTTGATTCCACCCCAAAACAATTCTGTCCTTCCTGAGCCTTCCCCTTTGTAGTAAATGGCGTCACTATTTACCTGCTTGCTCAGGCCCAAATTCTTGGTCTTCTACCTGACCCCTCTTTCTCTCAGACGGTGTATCCAAACCCCAGCAAATACTTTTTTGCTCTACTTTCAAAATATGTCTAGAATCTGATCGCTTCTCACCACCCCTCAGCTGCCAGCCTAGTACGGCCCATCCTTTCTAGCCCGTCCTATAGTAACCACCTAACTGGTCTCCCTGCCTAGTTCTTGCCTCTGTACAGTTCTCCATTCAGCGGCTAGACAGTTCTATTAAAAGATGTCGGGTCATGTCATTTCTGTGCTCAAAGTCTTCCAATGGCTTCCCGTCACACTTAGAACAAAATCTAATTTATATAACCCTCAAGACCTTACATGTCCTGACCTTGCCTGTCCTTTTCCACTCACTTACCCTACTCCAGTAAGATTAGAGGTGCAGCTTTATAGTTCCCCAAACCTGCCAAGCACATTGCTGCTTGCAAGGGTTTTGCACTTGCCATGCCCTCTTGTCAGTGACTCTCTCTTCCCACCTCCTTTACATGGTTTGCTTCCTTTCTTCATCCATATCTCTGCCAAATGTCTCCTTCTCTCCAGGCCCTCCCTGACCCACCTTATCTAAAAGAGAACCCCCATCATTCCATCTCCATCCCTTTACTCTATTTTTCTTTATAGCACTTAACACTATCTGATACTAATTTTGATTGGTTTATTATAAGCATGTCTCCCCTGTTAGCAAGTAAGCTCGATGAATACAAGGTCTTTGTTCACCGCTGTAGCCCCAATGCTGTGACCAGTGCCAGGCACATAGTATTGAATAAATACTTGTTGAATTAATGAGTGAATAATATCCTAGACATTAGATCTACTACCTTCGCTCATTCTCTTTCACTGAATACATAAATATACAGCTGGCTGTGTGATTTTTTTTTTAATTGATTTAAGCCACTCCTTGCTTATCTAGCCAAAGCATCTGTCAGTTTTGTAGCAGTAGAAAATAAGGGAGGCAGGGTCCTCATTACCTAGTACACGCCCTACTATTCTGATAAAATCAAGATGCACAGATAACTTTAAGTCCAGAGCACTTAGGTTTGGTTTTCCTATTTTTTTCCACAATTGACATATACTGAACGAGTCTGGTCACAAAATAATCATAGAGGCTGGCTGGTTAGCTCAGCCAGTTACAAGGTGGTGTTGTGACACCAAGGTCAAGGGTTCTAATCCCAGTACCAGCTGGCCACCAAAAAAATCCAAAAAACAAAAATCGTAAATCTCTGCATCGCTTCTCGGCCTTTTGGCTAAGATCAAGTGTAAAAATCGTAAATCTGATACACTGACTCAGTTTCCCCAGTGTAACTTAGAACAAGATTGGATCTGAGAACAGACCAGAGCAAACAAGCCTGTACTTTTCTATTGCTGCTCTCAGATGCCTTCTTATCTCCATTCATGAGGACTGTCACATGTGTGGATGGCTGCCACATTCTTTTGTATTACAAATGAAGTCATCTGAGTCTCTGGGAACATGACCTCACCTGCCCTGCAGGATGCTGTGTATTGCTAAGGCCTTCCATTGGTCATCAGCCTGCATTTCTGACTCCTGGGTCACTCCTAACCACTTTTTTAAAAATTTATTTTGTATTGTATGTATTTAAGGTGTGAAACATGATGTTTTGATATGTAAGTTCTCATAGGAAAAAAGGATGTATTGACACATAGCAATTAAAATTCTAGCAATTGGCAAAGATTGGCATAATGTTCTTAGGATCCTATAAGTGGTTCCCAAACCTGATTACATAACAGAATCATCTGGGAAGCTTTTTGGAAATACAGGTTCCCTGGTCCCACTCTAGTTCTGGGATTAAAATTGGACTCTTGTATGGTACATACCACAAATTCTCTCTCTCTCTCTCTCTCTCTCTCTCTCTCTCTCTCTCTCGCAGATCAAACATATTCCTAGTGATAATAAGTGCTAAGAAGCAAACAAATAAAGGGTAGAAAATAACAGTGGAGATAATGAGGATTTTCTGAGGAGGTAACATTTAGTCTACTATGGGAGGTATTGGGGAGGAACATTTCGGGCAGGAACTAGCGTGGTGTGTTCACAGAATTAAAAGCAGACCAGTGTGGCTGGAGCTCTGTGAATAAGTGAATAGGGAAGGAGCTTGGGAGCGGTGGGAGGAAGGGGCTAGGGCCCATCGTGGAGGTCTTCTGAACACCTATGAGAAAGGGGCTTTCGTTCTCCTAAGGACTTTGAGTTCTGTATGGAGAATAGATTGTGGGAGAACAAAAGTGGAAGCTGTGAGATCTGAACTATTCTCTGATGATGAACAGGACTAAAGCTGTGGCACCGAAGAAAGAGAGAAGGCAGTTTCAGGGTATGTATTTCAAGGAGGTCAACAGGACTTGCTGATGAGTTGGCAGTGGGTTGAAGGAGAGGGTGGGGGAAACAAGGATGATGCCAAGGGGGTTCTGCTAGAAGCAGTATAAGGTGTGGGTGAGTGCCCCACTAGCCCCATCTGTAAGATGGGGGTATTAAGGGTACTTCTCTACTGGGTTGGTGGTGAGTTGACATTTGTAAGGCACTTAGGATAGAGGTTGGCACATGGTAAAACACTATGTAAGTATTAGAAGTGATGTGGATGGGCCGGCCTGTGGCTCACTCGGGAGAGTGTGGTGCTGATAACACCAAGGCCCCGGGTTCGGATCCCATATAGGGATGGCCGGTTCGCTCACTGGCTGAGCGTGGTGCTGACAACACCAAGTCAAGGGTTAAGATCCCCTTACCGGTCATCTTTTTTTTAAACAAAAAAAAAAAAAAAGAAGTGATGTGGATGGGCCGGCCTGTGGCCCACTCGGGCGAGTGTGGTGCTGATAACACCAAGGCCCCGGGTTCGGATCCCGTATAGGGATGGCCGGTTCGCTCACTGGCTGAGCGTGGTGCTGACAACACCAAGTCAAGGGTTAAGATCCCCTTACCGGTCATCTTTTTTTTAAACAAAAAAAAAAAAAAAGAAGTGATGTGGATGGGCCGGCCTGTGGCCCACTCGGGCGAGTGTGGTGCTGATAACACCAAGGCCCCGGGTTCGGATCCCGTATAGGGATGGCCGGTTCGCTCACTGGCTGAGCGTGGTGCTGACAACACCAAGTCAAGGGTTAAGATCCCCTTACCGGTCATCTTTTTTTTTTAAAAAAAAAAAAAAAAAAAAAAGAAGTGATGTGGATGATGGTGATTTGTCTAAGGTTGCACAGCTGGTCAGCAGCAGGTCCAGGACAAGAAGCCAAGGCTTAGCCTCTTGGTTTAATGTATTTTATGCTACACTGAGCTGCCTCCTTCAATTACACTTGAACTTTTTTATTTATGCAGACTCTTGGTAGAGGGCTTGGTCGTCTTGGTACTTGATGAGTTGCACTTATAACACGAGTGTTGCACCAAACATGATAAATTGCTAGGGTTTTCTGTGTAGCCTGGAATTTCAGATTATTTTGGCTATCCATAAAATGATGCCATTCCAGACAAAACACAGGACCCGGATGGCAGGAAGATGGTACTGGAAGAGAGATGTTCTGTGGATGGTTTTTAAATATTAAAAGAAATATCTTCCAGAATATGGATGTGCTCAAATTGTCAACATGCTTAGGCTCGAGTGGGTACATACACTACGACAGGAGATGGTGTTAAGAGACCTTAATACCGGAAGTTATAGGTCAGTGCATGCCAGGAGAAGGAAAGAAAGAAATGTAAGAATGTTAGTGTAACTTCCCCAGATTGTCAGTTTTCTAGTGATACATCTTGAAGAAGTGTTTCTGTCAGTTTCAACTAAGCTAATTTTTAAAAATTGCTCTTTGTACTGTGCCTTTCTCATGAACCTCTGTGAGTTTAATGCATGCAAGATGTGGGGGGAAATCCTGTCAGCCTCACATCCCATCCTCCCAAAGTCTGAGAAGGAGATTTTAGAAGCACATCATTGTACCTGCAGGGATTTGTCATTTTATTAAATGGTACCTGAAACCATTTTCAATGTGTCTTATAGGAAAGAATTTCAGAAAGAAGTGAAAGAAAATGCCACCCCAGCCCTTCCTCCTCTCTCATGTTGACTGTCTGTTTTGTTGCACCTCTATCTCAAATAGCATGGGGAGGACTGTTCTTCATTATCAGGGAATGTGAGTCATTCCCAGATTTGTGTGATTGGGATTCCAAAGCATTGCTGTATCCGATGGTCTTATTAAATCCAAGTGTCAGTGTGGCCTTTCAGACTGTAGGGGAGAGCTCAGTTACAGCTGGTGACCTGGTTCTAGTTACAACACAGAGACATTGGCAAGAGCAATGACCCCCTTCGAGAACCCAGAATTCCACATGGATGTCTGTTACCAACTCTTCCTAGATTTGGGGGTTTCCTGGTTCATTTCATGGGTTTCAATACATTTCAGCTCCTTGTTTATATCCTAGTTAGAATCTGTATACTTTAGAGGAAAAACTGTCTAGTGTCTATAGCCAAGCTAGTGCCAAGATTAGCCTAGCTTTTGGAGGGTACCTCTTTTCAGATTTACTCAACACTGTTAAATGCACTGTGTCCAGGATCTAGTAAGACACTATCCATTTCCAGCTTGATCCAAAGAAAACAAATAAAACATCAACCAGAGAAGGAGGAGGCTATAGATGTTGCCAGGAAATTAGTTTGCTCTGTCTTTTCTTTCTCCTAGAGTGTTTTACAGCCAATGGTGCGGATTATAGGGGAACACAGAACTGGACCTCACTGCAAGGCGGGAAGCCATGTCTATTCTGGAACGAGACTTTCCAGCATCCATACAACACTCTGAAATACCCCAACGGGGAGGGGGGCCTGGGTGAGCATAACTATTGCAGGTAAGATGGGGCCACTCGATGCTTAAAAAAAATCTCTGGTCTTCTCTTCCAACCCTTTCTATCCCTGCTCACAACTAGGGAAGCTTTTTTGTCTCCTTTTGGTCGACTCAGGAGGTCTTTCTTTTCACTGTTTTAAAAATCTTTCTCCCACACCTCTCTCACACACACACACACACACACACACACACACACACACAAAATCTACCATTCTTTTCAACTTGGGTTGCTTTGATACTGGCTTTCAGAGCTATGCTTTACTGTTTGATCACTTACTTGTCTCTTTGGGAGAATTTTCTTAGTTGACCCTATCACTAGTGGACAATACACAGGCAGCAAAGATTTCTAAGCTTTGAGAATATAGTGGTCAAACAGTACCGCCTGTGGGCCAGCCCGGTGGCGCACTGCTACAGTGCGCCGCTTGGGAGCGCGGTGGCGCTCCCGCCGAGGGTTCGGATCCCACATACAGACCG